GAATGCTGAGATTACAGGCATGCCTTGGCACATCTAGGTTCAGTTTGAAAAACTGAGAAACAAAAATATTTCTCATAGTACTGAAATACGAGTGCTATGATTTGGTATATATGTATTTTTTTTTTTTACTAATCTTTGAATTGTCTTTATTTTGAGAAATAGTAGGTATATACGAATATCTATTTTCAAATGAACATTGATTCACTTTATGGAGTGCTGAACAAATGTCAGCTCTTTATTTTTCTCCACTTACTTTTGTTTTTTGTTTTTCCAAGACAAGGTTTCTCTGTGTAGCCCTGGCTGTCCTGAAACTTGCTCTGTACACCAGGGTGGCCTCGAACTCAGATCTGCCTGCCTCTGCCTCTGCCTCCCAAGTGCCACCACTACCTGGCTTTTTCCACTTACTTTAAAAATGTTTTTAAATGTTTTGCACATGATTTCACATCAGAGTATTTAGAACTGACTATTTTATTTATTTATTTTTTTTTTTGTTTTTTTGAGACAGGGTTTCTCTGTGTAGCTTTGCGCCTTTTCCTGGAACTTGCTTGGTAGTCCAGGCTGGCCTTGAACTCACAGAGATCCGCCTGGCTCTGCCTCCCGAGTGCTGGGATTAAAGGCGTGCGCCACCACCGCCCGGCTAGAACTGACTATTTTTGATCAATAGTACCCTGCTGGTGAATACTGTACATTGTGGAAAACCAGTCCTTTACTGATAAATATTTGGCATGTTATTTAATCTTTTTGCAGTGATAAGAAAATGCTGACTTCCAGTTTCTGGCCCGGCACATGAGGACCTTAGAAGTCATCATTCCTGACCTTACAATAACAGAAAAGCAAAACAGTCTTAAAGTCAACAACTCCTTTAGATCAATCAGAAAATTGAGGTCACAAGGTTAACTGCTGCCACCTACACACACACACACACATACACACACACACACACACACACACACACACACTCACACACACACTCACAAAGAGACACAGGCAAATTTAGAAAAACCACAGCTTACCAAAGCAGAAGCTTTGGAATAGAAACCTGCCAGCTAGAGACAGAACCACAGTAGGAAAGGTTAAATTGTAATTGATGAATGGCTCAAAGTGTGCAAAGTGGACAACGTTCAGAGTAAAAAACTACGAGCTGATGAGGGATTCTATACAATTTGGTGAGTTTTACCTACCAGGTTCTGAGGCTGTGCCTTTGAGGGTGTTTCAAGAGGGGGGCCATCTGCTTCTCAGCTAAATTGGAGAAGAAACTATTCTGGAACATTCTTAGAAGATTTTGTTCTTCTTAACAAAAGCAAGGAAAAGGACTTTACCAAAGTCTAATCACCTTGGGTGTTATCATTCTAAGCAAACTGGAGGGCCCTCTAACCTTTGACACCGGGGGAAAGGAATGCCAGACTTCAGCCCTCTCCAGCCTGTCAACATAGATGGGGAGGGGAAGAAACAAATGCCAATTTCCCAATCCAGCCATCCAGCTACACAAGCTCATTTAAATAATGTGCAAGACTGAACCATCCTTCCCCTCTCCCCAATACTGCAGCCACATCAGTGAAGACTCACCCACTCCAGCAACTTTTACCCTTTACGTCATACCTACCTGTCAACAAGAACATTAAAAGCACATCGAAAAAAACTTGAGCACAGATTGAAGAGCTAAGCATCAAAGCACATTCAGTTATTGGAGAGATACTGGTCATATCAGCAGAAATTTAAAACCACTACAATATACTAAGGGATCTAATGAAAAACTGGATCACATTCAAAACAGACAGAAACTCTAAGAACCAATAGAAAATGCTAGAAATCAAAATGGAGGCTACAGATGTAGGACAGTCACAGACTATAGACTTAGCATGAACAGAGCTCTAGGTTCAATACCCAGCTCGCACATACATACAAACACATAAATACCCTCCCTCTCTCTCTTCCTCTCCTTCTGTAAACAGCTGTAACAGAAATCAAGAACACCTTTGACAGGCTCAACTGTAGCCTGGGTGTGCAGTCAAGGAAAACGTCAGAGAACATGAAGGTATGCTAATAGAAATCTCTAAAATATTAATGCAATTAATCTGCTGTGGGATGGTCTGTATGTCAAATGTGTTGCTGATTGGTCAATGAATAAATCACTGATTGGCAGTGGCCAGGCAGGAAGTATAGGCGGGACTAACAGAGAGGAAAATTGAGAGAACAGGAAGTTGGGAGGGGAGACACTGCCAGCCGCCATCAGGACAAGAAAGATGTAAAGTACTGGTAAGCCACAAGCCACGTGGCAAGGTATAGATTAATAGAAATGGATTAATTTAAGCTGTAAGAACAGTTAGCAAGAAGCCTGCCACGGCCATACAGTTTGTAACCAATATAAGTCTCTGTGTTTACTTGATCGGGTTTGAGTGGCTTGGGACTGGCGGGTGAGAGAGATTTGCCCTGACTGTGGGCCAGGCAGAAAAACTCTAGCAACAATTGGCGCCCAACGTGGGGCAAGAGTTTCCACCTAAAACCTGAGAAAAAAGATTCTAAAACGGAGCTAAAAACAGTTCCTAGTTGTCTCTTTCAAGTTAGCGGCAGCCTGCCGGTTTGAGCTACTGGCGGGTTCCTAGCGTGTGTGCATGCTTGACCTGCAGTATGGTGGGAATGAGGCCTCTGCAAGTGGCACATTAAGCTGTGTGGTGGATTTAGCCTTTGCTAGTACAAAAAAAAAAGGTTTCTGGGCTACACGCTGCTTTGATAGAAGCATAGACCCACTATTTCTGAGAGTTGATGGCTCCCAGAGCTGGCGGAAAATGTACCACCGCCATGTTGGGAAGCTGAAGTGGGCGGAGCCAGCAGCCATAGTGCCAGCGCCGTTTCAGGCTTAGAAGGCTGCAGTTTAAGGCAATAGGCTCAAGCTAATATAAAAAAATAAGCCATGTAAAGATGGCTACCACACAGAGAATCTGGATTATGTTCTCTTTGATATTCATAACTGAAGAAAAACATTTGATTGCAAAAGCTGTTAAGTTATGCCAAAATGTATATTTTAAAGATACTTTGACTTCAAAATTTGGATGTAAGGATATGTTGCTTTGGAAAAGAGTCTCTTTTGTTTCCACAGAAAGCAAGAGGCTATGGATTTGTTCCAGAGTAAGATACATCAGGTTTGACCAGCCAAGACCCCCTGAAAGGTCTCCGATGACACCATGGCCCAGATGATCCAACATCCAGAACCGTTTCAAGGCAACTGGCTCAGATGATACAGCCTCACGGACTACTCCATGATCCTAAAATTTTTTTTGTTTCCCCAGAAGATACAGCGCCCCGCTCCAGCAGGAAGTAGTAAGAGAAGCTACGCCCAAATTCCCAAATATACCAAGCTGACTTTGGAGATGTGTAAAGGTTAAAACCTTCCTTTTTAAGAAAAGAAAAGGGGAGGTGCTGTGGGATGGTCTGTATGTCAAATGTGTTGCTGATTGGTCAATGAATAAATCACTGATTGGCAGTGGCCAGGCAGGAAGTATAGGCGGGACTAACAGAGAGGAAAATTGAGAGAACAGGAAGTTGGGAGGGGAGACACTGCCAGCCGCCATCAGGACAAGAAAGATGTAAAGTACTGGTAAGCCACAAGCCACGTGGCAAGGTATAGATTAATAGAAATGGATTAATTTAAGCTGTAAGAACAGTTAGCAAGAAGCCTGCCACGGCCATACAGTTTGTAACCAATATAAGTCTCTGTGTTTACTTGATCGGGTTTGAGCGGCTTGGGACTGGCGGGTGAGAGAGATTTGCCCTGACTGTGGGCCAGGCAGAAAAACTCTAGCAACAATTAATATACTAACTAATTAATTAATTAATTAATTAATTGAGGGGCTAGAGAGATGGCTAGTTAAGCCACAGTTAAGAACACTGGCTACTCTTCCAGAGAACCCGGGTTCAATTCTTAGCACCCACATGGCAGCTCACAAGTGTCTGTAACTCCAGTTCAGTTCCAGAGAATCTGACACCCTCACACAGACATACATGCACCAACACACCAATCTACATAAAATACAAATAAGTCTTTTTTTTAAAAAAAAAAGAAACTTTCAGCCGGGCTGTGGTAGTGCACGCCTTTAATCTCAGCACTTGGGAGGCAGAGGCAGGCAGATCTCTGTGAGTTCAAGGCCAGCCTGGTCTACAGAACGAGTTCCAGGACAGCCAAGGCTGTTACACAGAGAAATGCTGTCTCACAAAACAAAACAAAACAAAAAAGAAACTGGAAAGAAAGAACAGAAAAAGATTTAATATAATAATGGCTGAGAATTTAATAGCATTTACAAATATTTGTTTTTATTTTATGTGTGTATGTATTTGCCTTCAGGTATGTATGAATATATACACAGCACATGTGTGCTTGGTTTCAACAGAGGCCAAAGGAGGAATCAGATCTCCTGGAACAAGAGTTATGGAAGCCAGAGTTGTAAAAACAAGAGTTGTAAGGAAAACAGGAGTTGTGAGCTGCCATGTGGTTACTGGGTCCATACCTGGGTCCTCTGCAAGAGCAGCCAGTGCTCCTAAGTATGGAGCCATCTCTCCAGCCCTGAATTCCCCAGTATTAATAACACAGAACCACAGATTCAGGAAGATTAGAAAACACTAAGAAGGATAAACGCCAAAAAAAAAAATCAGTATGTGGATATCATAATCAATAATATCAAATGTCATATTCATTCTAGAAATTTTTTAAATAAACCACAGAGGGAAAGCATCTTCGCTGCAGAGGAGAAAGAGGAAAGATGACATTAGGCTTCTCATTGGAACCCTTGCAAATGAGAGTAAAATAAATTATTTAAAGTGTTATGGTAGGCACACAACTAGAATTCTGAATCCAACCAAATTACTCTTTGAATGTGAAGGAGAAATAAAGATTTTTCTCAAACAAAGTTTATGGCTAGTAGAATTATCTAGAAAGAATGATAGACCAAAGTACGGATACCGCCAAAGTCCAATTTGGTGAACCGATGAGTTTTATTAGGGTTACCTACAGGAGTATGGGTGAGAGGTTACTTACAGGAGCAGAAATGACTCAAAGACAGCTACATCACCAAAGCCCACCCCAGCATGAGTGACAGCTCACTAAAGCTGGGAACCTGGAGCACACTGCACAGCTTGCAGGCAGCTCAACAGGTTGGAGAGTGTCCTTTCCAGTTGCCTCTGTTGGTCTAAACCTCTTTCAAGCAGCTGGTCTGGTTTCTGCTTCTTCTAGGCAGCTGGTCTGGTCACAGATTCTTCTTTGCAATTCTCTGAGTGTCTTCTCTGCAGCTCAGCTTCCTACTTCCTGCTTTTATTGCTTACTCTGGCAGGAAGAGGGCCTAATGAATCTGATCAGTTTCAGGGACTTCCTGAAGCTGTTTTGAGTTGTTTACCTTCCTGTTTAAAGAGCTTCCCTGCAGGATGGAATGTTTCAATCCTGGGGAAAATTGTTATACAACACCTGGTTTGGGGGATTTTTTTTATAGTTTTTATTTTATTATTATTTTCTTCACACCTTTATTTTATTTTTATTTTATTTTATTATTTTATTTTATCTTATTTTATTATTTTATTTTATTTTATTTTTATTTTATTTTCCGGAGCTGAGGACTGAACCCAGGGCCTTGCGCTTGCTAGGCAAGTGTTCTACCACTGAGTTAAATCCCCAACCCCGATTTTTTTTTATTATGTATACAGTGTTCTGTCTGCATGTATGCCTGTAAACCAGAAGGGGCAACAGATCTCATTACGGATGGTTGTGAGCCACCATGTGGTTGCTGGGAATTGAACTCAGGACCTGTGGAAGAGCAGCCAGTTCTCTTAACCGCTGAACCATCTTTCCAGCCCCCGATTTTTTTTTAATATATAGGTTTTTAAAAATTGTACTAATTAAATTTAGTTATTTATTTAACATCCTGACTGCAGTTTCCTCTCCCTCCTCTCCTCCCATTCCCTCCCCTGTGCCCCCCCCACAATATGTGGTATTTTTATTTATTCTTTGAGAAGTTCATATAATGTTCTTTGATCATAATCACCCCTACTCCTCCCTCTAACTCCTCCCAGATACACAACTCCACCTTGACACCCCCTCCCAACTTTCTGACCCCTTTTTTTCTTTTTTAAAAATAACCCATCAAGCCCAATTTGTGCTGATTATAAAACCCTGGGTGTGGGGCCATTCACTGGAGCATGGTTGACCTACCAGGAGTCACACCCTTTTTAAAAACCTGTCTCTTCCTCCCCAAGAAGCCATCAACCAACAATAGCTCCTCAACTGAGGTTGGGCTCATGAGTTCCTCCCTAAGGGATTATTCTTTTTAAGTATAATTGACATGCTAAGAAAGGAGAGAAAATGGAATCATATAAAATGCTCAATTAACATCAGAAAGGGTAGAAGAGTTGAAGACAGCAAGAAACAAGGTCAAAGAACAGAAAGGAATAACAAACAGCAGAGACAGAAATACAGCCATATTGATAGTCACTTGAAGCATCAGTGGTCCAAAAACACCAATCAAAAGACAGAGGAATTGAGCATGTAGCTCAGTGACAGAACATGGGCTTAAAATGTGTGGTGCCCTGTGCTGCATCTCCAGCACAAAAAAAGAGAGAGCAAGCAAGCTAGGTGATGGGGTGGAAGCTGGGACAGGAACAGGGATAAAGCAGGAGAAGAGAGGAAGGGAGCTAGCCAGGAAATATCCAACTATTTGTGGTCTAAGAAACCCACTTTAAGTATTAAAGACATTGAAAGATTAGAAGGATGACCTTGCCTTTAATCTCAGCACTCGGGAGGCAGAGGCAGGCGGATCTCTGTGAGTTCAAGGCCAGCCTGGTCTCCAAAGCGAGTTCCAGGATAGCCAGGGCTACACAGAGAAACCCTGTCTCGAAAACCAAACAAAGCAAACAAAGAACAACAACAAAAGTAGAAGGATGACATTTTTGTCTTCCTAACATTAATCAAAAGAAACCAGAAGCATTTATTTCAGACTTGCCTCTACTGGATGTGCCTCCTCATGGGAGGCCTTGCCTTCTTGTGGGGGAGTGGGGGTGGCTTGGGAGGGGGAGACTGGGAGGGTGGTGAGAGGAAGGAAGAGGGGGATCTTTGACTGGTGTGTAAAATGAATGGAAAATTTTTCTTAATTAAAAAAAAGAAAAGAAAAAATGCTTCAGTGAACTGAGCTATAGCTCCGTTAGTTGGTAGAGTGTTTACCTAAAACACACAAAGCCCCAGGTTCCATCCTGAGCATTCACATAAAACTGAGCAAGGCAGAGGCCTACATCTAACCCCAGCATTGAGGAAGCGGGAGGATCAGAAGTTCCAAGTTGGGCTACATGAGACTCTGTCTAAAATAAAACAAACAAAAAAGATGGTCACTCTTTTTTTGATGTATAAAATATATGCAGTAAAGTGTAGAGGTCCATAACTACATATTTTTTGTATGCATGTATCAGTTTTCATTTTTTAACACCAATGGTTATCAAATAATTCACTGTTTATCATGTACTAACTACAGCTCTTAGCACCCATATTAGTTCTTGGGATCAACCTTAAATTAGGTACTGTTGTAATTACATTTTAGATAAGATAGGGTAAGCTTTGGTCAGATTTCTATGATTTTTCATGACTATGTAACCTTTGTGTAGAAGAAGAGAGGGGTTACACATGTATGTGATGGATGTACATGTGTGTCGTGCACATTTATTTTCACATGGAAGTCAGAGGGCAACCTCGAGTATGCTCCTCACGAGCTGTTCATTTTTTTCATTAAGTTTTTAACTTTCAATTTTTATTTATGTGTATGTGTATGTCTATTCCGTGGGGGTGGGGGTGCTGTTGGAGGCCAGAAGGGTGTGTCAGAGACCTGGAGTTGGAGTTACAGGTGGTTGTGAGCTGCCTGGTATGGGTGTTGGGAATTGAACTTGGGTCTTCTGGAAGAGCAACTAGTGTTCATTATTACTGAGCCATCTCTCCAGGTCCCTCCTTTTTTTTTTGAGACAGGGTCTCTCACTGACCTGGAACTTGACAAGTAGGCTACAGAGGCTGGCCAGTGAGCCCCAGGGATTCATCTATGTCCATCCCCCCATTGCTAGGATTACAGCATACACTACTGCAGCTGGCTTTTTTCATGTGGGCTCTAGGTATTGAACTCAAATCTTGAGCTACTGAGCTATCTCCACAACCTCTGCTTTTCACCTTTCTATATTATAACTACATCTAAACATAGTCATAGCAAGGACTAGCATGGTACCTGATGTCCAGTAGCTAGTGCTCCATATTATCGGCCTTTTACTGCTATTACTCCCATATTTCATTGAACCCAGGGTCCCATCCATTATAAGGTACATCATTAGATCACATGCCACTGGCAAGGAAAGAAGATGCTGCCAATCACAATAACTGAAGATTCTACTGAGTGCTGGAAGATGTATGCCAGTCTCAAAGGCCTGAGAAAATGTGCTTTGTAGAATGAATAAAATTCAGTGTTAGGAATAAAAGTTCCTGTTTAGAGTCCAATGGCTTTAACAACTATCCTATCCCAAGGGTCCTTACTCTTACATATTCAGTTTTGAGTGTGCCTTTGAATGGTAGACTTGCTTATTTAACTGCCTTTATTTAATGTGCATATCTATAGCTATCTCAAAAACTGCATGCCAAAAAGTGAGTTTTCATTATCTACCATCTTGTTATATGGTAACTCTATTCTTCCCAATTATTCAGGCCAGATACCTTGGAGTCAATAGATTCTGATGCATCTACTTTCAACATAATCTCCTAGTCTGGGCATCTCTCACCGTCCTCACTGCCAATACACCAGCGTGCCTGTAGCAGAGACACTAGCTACTCACCTCGCCCATGCCTGCCTGTTCCTCCTGGGCACACATTTCCCAGCCTCCCTTACAGGGAGATGTAGCCATATGATGAAATTATGGTTTTGTTTTGGTGTGTGTGTAGCCATATGATGAAATTATAGTTTTGTTTTGATGTGTGTGTGTGTGTGTGTGTGTGTGTGTGTGTGTGTGTGTGTGTGTATTGAAACAGGGGTATCATGTTTTGTTTTGGGGTGTGTGTATGTGTGTGTTGAGACAGGGGGTCTCATGTAGCCAAGGCTGGCTGGCTTGGAATTTGATATATACCTGAAGATACCTGTGAATGTCCGATCCTCCTGCCTTCACCTTCAAAGCACTGAAAAGTGTGTACCACCCACACTCCAATATAAGCACTGCAGGATAGAACCCAGAACTTTAAGCATGCTAGGCAAGCACTCTACCAACCAAGCCATGTCCCCAGCCCATATGAGATGACCAGTGGTAGAATAAGAGAAGAAATGTCATGACCCTGCCCCTATAAAACTCCAATACTCTTTAGCAGCTTTTGTCCCCTTCCAGCTTATTGTAATGGCCACGACTCTGCACCCTCCCCTCAATGATGACTTTGGTTGTTGTGTGTTGAAAGCAGCAAAGCCCCTGTCAGCCAGGGTTTCTGACTGTTTAGAGGAGAGTTGCCCTTTGACCTGTTCACCTACCCAGTACCATAAGATGAGCAATTGCAGTTTGGAGGCTTCTGAGCAGTGGGCAGGGAGGGAACTGATATTAGAGGTCAGAAAGATGGAGAGCCATGTTAAAAAAGCAGCAAAATTCTTGATTAAAATGTCACCTGTGATAAATTGGAAGCCATACAAAATGCCTCCTGCACCAATAACTTCATGGCAAGGGGACAGGAGGCAATGTGAGGTGTGCATTGGTGGTTATTTGCTGTGTCTAGCAAAGGAGGGCGAGAGGGAGCAAGGTGGGGGCAAGCCCAGGCAGGAGCTGGCCGGCTGAAAAGCAGAAAGGAAAAGGAGTCAGAAGGCAGGGTTGGGAAATGTGGGGACTAGGTTTAAAAAGTGGCCTGGCCCTTCATCCAAAATTCTGAAAGAAGGCCAAGAAGAGCTCCATGGAACCAAGTATAGGGGAATGACCCCGCTGTGACATGCTGGTGACTTTGCACATCTTCATCTAGGCCACATGAACAAGGCTGAACTGCAGTCTGAAGGGAGTCTTGGCGGAGTGCCCTGTGATTGCTCCTGGAACAGGCAAAGATAAGGACAGGAGCTGCTGCAAGGGAGTTTCTTGGCCCTATCTTGTGGGAGGCTGCCACGAGGTCATTTCTCACCCATCTCCTGGGTGAAGGAGGACAGCTCTTTCTATCCTCCCTGCTACCCAGCTCGAGGGCAACTGCAGGTTTCTGTGACAAGCTAGGACACTGCTATTCTGCACTGAGATCTGGCTTGTATTCAACTGTAGGTTGAATAACCTACCTACCACTCAGGTGGTTTGTCCTTCGGCTCCTTAGGTGCCATCCTGTGGAACTCAAATGTAGAGCATTGACACCATGGTGACCTTACTTTCACAGCTCTTTATGTAATATCATTCCTATCCATTTGCCCTTGTTATGTGGTACCAGCCAAGCCAGCAGAAGGGTAGCAAGCCAGGCTAAAAACTGGCGGGATCAGCCCTGGTACAATCACTGGGGCCCCACTGGTAAACCAAGGATTCTGTCCTGAAGCAAAAGTCAGATTATAGAGGTGGTACCCTTCCCACCAAAGCCTGTCTTCTGAAATGGCACCAGGGTATCAGCATTAACTTGTAAGGGAGAGAATCCTGGGAGCAAGTAAGTAAATCCTCACAGAAAGCTGACTTCCCCACCATGTCTAGACAAGAAGTTTGGGTATGCTTACAGCATATGGAACTGTGTAGAGGCAAACAGATCGTGTATAGAAAAAAACAACAACATTTGGTATGTAACAGCACATGGACTTCGCTAGAAAAAAGATGAGTATGCATAGGGAAGAACTTTGGGTATGATTACAGCTCATAGAAGAGTCTAGAAGAAAACAGATTTGACACTTCATGTGGTTGTGAAGGAAATAAGTTACCAAAGAAACCAAGGGCTGTGAAGTTTAAAACAATGCTTAAAGCCAGGTCTGTTGGGAGGCTGAGGCAGGAGGATCACAAGCCTGCCTGGGCTACAGAGTGAATTTAAGGACAGCCTGGGCAACCTAGTAAAACCCTATCTCCAAATCAAAAGGAAAAAGAGGGCAAGGGGTATATCTCACTGGCACAGTGCCCTACTGATGATGATGATGATGATGATGATGATGATGATGATGAACAGCTGTCTCCCCACTAAAGCGCTAAAAGCTGTGTCAGCTAAAGATGCCCAGAGCAGTGCCAGATGGGAAATGTAAGCTAAGGCAGCCATAGACGCTCCATGGATAAGAAGGAACTTGGCAGTCTCTTGATATACTTGAAAACTGGAACTGTATTTTAAGAGAACATACTTGGTTTTTGTTTGCTTTTGTGTTTTTTTTTGGGGGGGGGGGTTGAGACAGGGTTTCTCTGTGTAGCTTTGGAGCCTTTCCTGGATCTCACTCTTAGGTCAGGCTGGCCTCGAACTCACAGAGATCCGCCTGGCTCTCCCTCCTGAGTGCTGGGATTAAATGCATGTGCCACCACTGCCTGGTCTAGTTTTGTGGTTTTTAAAGACAGGGTTTCTCTGTGTAGCCCTGGCTGTCCTGGAACTGGTTCTGTGGACCAGGCTGGCCTCGAACTCAGAGATCTCCTGCCTCTGCCTCCTGAGTGCAGGGATTAAAGGTGCTGGCCACCACCGTCTAGAAAGAGAACATATTTGTTAACATCTAACGCAATTTTTAAAATATGCATTCTTTCTGACCCAGCATTTCTACTACTCTGAATCTACCCCAGAGAAACAGGGGCACTAGTATTAATCATAGAGCTTTTGTAATGGTGAGAACAGAGCAGCAAGTGAAATAAAGCATGCTATAGGCATGCTGAGGATATTGTGCAGGGGTTCAAAAGAAATGAACTGTGTAGAGCAACTTCCAAGACAAAGTATTTACTGAATTTGGCAAATTGCAAAAAAATGATTATACCATGAACTGAAATTTAAAAACCCACAAAATGCCATGTATTTCAAAATAACACATATTTATACATTAAAAAGTATACATAAATGCTAACTACTACAGTAGTTGCTTCATGAGAGGAATGAATATCGTGAGGGTGGATGGAGAGGCCTGCAGTCTTATCTGTAATAACAAACTGTCTTTCAAAGACAATGAAGGCTTGTGCACAAAGAAATCAACTGTTTTATAAAGGCTATTTGGCTATGCTCTAGACACTGTCCCCCTCTCCCTTATCAATTTCACATATACTGGACCAACGTGCATCTGCTAGCAGGAATTCTAAGGGGTTAATACAACTCACCAGTGACTAACGGGAAGTTGTGTCTGTGAGTCAAAAGCTAGTCAAGGACAGGAGGCCATAGTAATAACTTGAAGTAATTAGCCAAGGGTGTAAAACGAGCATTCTATGGTATTAGGGAGGCAATGCCTACAAGAAGCAGTGACTGTCTCAGAAAGGGGGTTCACGAAAAGGATGAAAATAACAGACCATAGGAACGGGGAGGAGGGAGGGGCTGCACAGGGTTGGGCCCCAGGCTCCACGAAGAGATGCTGCTCACCTCATGCTGATAATTCTGTCTGGTTAACTGCAAACGACTCAGCTGGAGACCCAGGAAAGGCACAGCTGGTGCTTCAACCAAGGCGAAGTGTCTCTGGGGGAAGCTGAGAGGCACAGGAAGCTGACAGGAAGGAAGAAGAGAAAGCATTTGAGTTCCTTCACCCTCCTCCAGACGACTGTCGGTCTCCTTCTATGCCCCTCGTAGCCAGAGCTAAGCGGGAAGCCACCAGCAAAGCAGATATGTGGCTTACAGTGTTTCTAGTCAAAGCCTAGACTTTAAGGGCTGGGACACATGATGGCTGTGTCGCATGTGTGCCTAGCCAGTGAAAGGTCCTGGGTTCCATCTCTCTTTCCCCAAAAGTGGGCATGGTGACACAGGCCTGTAATTTTTAGAAATGAGGTGAAATTACTAAGGTATACTTTATCTGAAAGTAGAAAGGAGACTATTTTCAGGAAGAAGGGGACCAACAAGAGGGACTAAGAACGACAGGAGAGAGCCTTGGGCTGGTGAGTTTCAGTACAATGCTGTGTGTGTGTGTGTGTGTGTGTGTGTGTGTGTGTGTGTGTGTGTGTGTGTGTGTGTCTGTCCAAATGAAGCCCATTACTTTGTATGGTAATAACAAAGAAAACCCAGGTCGCTTTACTTACAATAAAACACATAAATACTAAGCAAATGACTGGATGAATGTTTATGTATTGGACAGGCATAGACTGCCCACACTGATGACAGAAACATGTACATATCCCAAATTATTCCTTCACTAAATGGCTATATCCCAACCCTGATACTCTTTCTAAGTGTGAATTCTTTTAAAATAAAACTATCATTCTGGATGCTCCTAGAGTTTATAAAAGAAAGGCAAGATGTAGTCTTCTTCCCTTCGTCTGCCAATCATAATTACTAGCTTGGCATCCTAGCAATTTCCAAGACATTTAGATAGCTAGTTAGTTAGTTAGCATCATTTTTTTTTAAAAAGATGTATAAATACGTAGAGCGTCTCACAGTCACAAGCTTTGTTTTAGGGGGAGGGGTACTAGAGTTTGAACCTAGGGCCTTGGACATGTTAGGCAAGCACACTCTTTCCACTGAACCACACTAACAACCATTACGCTTTCTGAAGTTCAGACTGTTCTCTGCTGGGCTGCTAAGAGCTCCGTAGAAAGTGTAGAGTTTTAATTTCATCCTTAATTTCTAGTCAGAGGCTCTTCCAGGTTCATCTTGTATCTAGTCAGCCTCAGGACTGGAAGTAGCCATTCTCTAAGGAGCTCTGAACGTTGGTTTGTTTTAAATGATATTTAATCACCCCAATCTGCATGCAGTCTTGACATTTTGTTATAATTTCTTTTTTGTTTCTTCATTGAACAGAACTAAGAAAGCTGTGCTTTTTAGAAAAAGAAATTATGACTAAATACTGCTATTTCCAATCTAAGAAGTAAAACGGTTTCCAGTTATTTTTCTTGATTTACGTCTTTCTTCTCAAGTGTAAAATCTTAGTTCTTAATGATGCTAATATAATAACCTATCTGATATTCCACTACACAGATATAGTTCCAAGATATTAACATCAATGTTATTAGTGACAAATAATTCACTGAGTGCCATTTAAGGTTTATCTAGTTGTTTTTGTCCTTGGGACCCAGCCACTGCGGATAGGTAAAAATACTCTGTCTGTAAGTCCCTTGAAATAATTACTGTGTACTTTAGCCACCAGCTTTTATAGTTGGGCTCCTTTTTTTTCCAGTTCATCTTTAATTTTTAAAGACTATCTTTTTTTTGCTTGTATTCAGTTTTTAAATTATTAAAAACCAATTTTACAGTTCTCGCATTAGTGATGAACTACTGCTTAACAGCTTATATAAAAAACGGGCGGCGTAAATAACAAACATGTAGTCTCGCACAGTTTTCGGTGGTCAGAAACCCGGGCAGCTTAGTTTAGTAGCTCTGGTTCAGAGAGGCTCAAGGCAGACTCTTTACCCAATCACAAGCTTGTTCCGAGCTGGAGGCGTGGCTTCCAAGATGGCCCCTCACAAGGCTCTCATTGGGCCTCAGATTCTCCTCACGTGGAACCACTTGGCAGGGCAAAGAATTTCCCAAAGAACAAGTGATCCAGGAGAGAGAAAAGAGCACAAAGGAAGCCACGTTGTGTCTAAAAACCTAACTGTGGAAAGGGTCACACAGCCCAACCATGCCACCCTGTTGGTGGGCCATCACAAAGGTGTTGAATATTGAGAGATGGCTATCATTGGAGGCTATGTTACACCAAACTAAGAAACAAACAACAGAGAGTATGAAACAAAATACACGCAGAGAAATCCAGCTCCCGCTTTTATACATCCAGCATTTCCTCCCTCCACCTTTAGGAAGCCACTTTTATTAATTCTTGCTTTATCTTCCCAGTATTTTGTTTTGAAAAATATCAGAAAATAGGCACAGACTTACAGCCCCCAAAGATGATTTGCTACACCGCACTCTAGCACCTTGCTTTTTCTCAGCACCGCACATTTAACCGCAGCATACAGACATCATCAGGCCACTGTGGAGCGTCATTCAACTCTTCTATGTAACTATACTGTCCTTTAGTCACTAAAGTTTAATGTTGCAACGCCTCCATCATTTCTCAATTATTCTTCGCCTTTAAGATGTCTAATTGCTTATAATTTTATCATTATAAATAATGCTAAAGTAAATATCCTTGTGCATGAAGATTTTCTGGATATAAGATTATCTTAGACAACTTGACTTAAAGGTACAGATTCATTAAGTCCTATTGATGCATTGCCAAATTGCTCCACACTAAACATTATTTACATTACTTACACCTCCATGATGTTTCCACATACAACAGACACAGTGTTCGTTTTGTCTGCATTCTTTTTGGTTGGTTGTTTGGTCGTTTGTTTTTTCTTTGGTTGGTTCTTTGGTTTTCAAGACAAACTTTTTCTGTGTAGTTTTGGCTATCCTGGAACTTGCTCTGTTGAGGAAGGTGGCCCCTAACTCAAAAGAATCACCTGCCTCTGCTGAAACTAAAGACGTGTACCACCATGCTTGGCTCTTGTATGCATTCTTTTTTGTTTGTGGTTTTTGGTTTTTTGAGACAAGGTTTCTCTGTGTAGTTCTGGCTGTCCTGGAACCAGCTCTGTAGAGCAGGCTGGTCTTGTCTGCATTCTTATCTGCATTGGGTTAATCTTTACTATTTTGACAGAGATAGCTAAGTATATTCCTGTATGAGTCATACATTTCCACACCATGTTTTAGTACTCAGTTTACCTTATCACTGCACATTTCAATGATAATTCATTCTTTTTCAAATTCACACACACAGAGCAAATATCATTTAATTTATTTTTCTATATAGTTAATCTAAAGTGCATGTAGACTCTAAGAATATTTTTCTGAGACAGTAAATATTTAGTATTTGTATGCAAGACTATAATGTGTGCAAAAACTGTGAAGCACAACAATGATTATGCAAGTAATATGAAATCTGATACAAATTATTTCTCTAATTTTTTTTTGTTTTGGTTTTTCAAGACAGGGTTTCTCTGTGTAGCTTTGCGCCTTTCCTGGAACTCACTTGGTAGTCCAGGCTGGCCTCGAACTCACAGAGATCCACCTGCCTCTGCCTCCCGAGTGCTGGGATTAAAGGCGTGAGCCACCACCGCCCGGCTATTTCTATAATTTTAATATGATCTATTTATATGCTTAGAGATAGGAAAATATCTGAAGTATTTTGTTAGATTTATAGCATCATGGTTTATTTTTACTATAATAATGGCTATTAATACCTTCTTAGTAAGAAAATTCAAACGGGGGGGTTAAAGACCTATTATTCATAAACTTTACATTCAATAAATTATTTTTGAAACAGCACTGTCATGTTCCCCATCGGGATAGTGATGGCTGGCTGTTTCTAAGTTCATGTGTCCCCATTCTTCACTGGAGGAGCAGAATAACTTCTCCTTTTACTTTTCAGAGTGATGTTTCCAACATATTCTGGCATACATTAGCTAGCTATTCAGAGTATAATTTATAGGTCAGAAAATAACTGCTCATGTTGTAAAACACTTTTGCACAGATGTGCTGCTGCCACCATTAATCCTGAGAATATCTATTTAGGTCTTAGTATTTAGGCACAGAGCTATTTTTTCTGAATATCAGAGCCCTGTGGGGATGAGGGTTTGTAGCAGTAAGATCACTGACCAATCATCAATCTCATTGTTATCCATAAGCAAGTATAACAAACTGGGTCGAAATGCCCTGAAATTCCTTGGGCCAGTGGTTAAAAAGAAGCACTGTTAATTAGTATGTTTCATGTCTTGACCAACAAAACCAGGCAGGTCCGCGAAATTAACCCTTGTAACACAAAGAACACAATACAGATGGCATCTCAAAGCTTTCCAGTGCTAACACATTTCAAAACACATTGTTTTGGACAGATTACAATGCAAACAAAACAATCAAACAAAACCAAGCACATACAACCAATAACCAAAATGAGAGCGAAGGCAGGTACTTAAAAAAAGAATATACAGTTAATGCAAATGTCAAAATCCAGTGTCTGAGAGGAGGCAGGAAAAGATTGGCTCTTCATCTACTGCTCAAGGAAAGCATACATATAGAGGGTTTTCCCATGGCACTTATTAGTATTCTGCATCAAAATTCTTTTGAAAGTGCACTTCCCAATGTTATAGTTAGCATTTCATCCGTGTTCTGGTTATTTTTCCTCAGCTCGATACAAACTGAATGACTTGGTAAGAGAAAACCTCAACTGAGGAATCACCTCCATCAGATTGGCCTGGTAGTCAAGTCTGTGGGGGCATTTTCTTGATTAATGATTGAGGTGGGATAGCCGATCCCACCATTAACGCATCACCCATGGGCAAGTAGTCCTAGGTGGTATTAAAAAAGCAGGCTGAGCAAGCCACAGGGAGCAAAGCAGTGAGCAGTGTTCCTCCATGGCCTCTGCTTCAGTTCCTGCCTCCAGGTTCCTGTCTGATTCTCTCATTGACTCCAACCTGCAATCTAAAATCAACCCTCCCTGAGTAAGTTCCAGGACAGCCAGGGCTACACAAAGAAACCCTGTCGTGAAAAACCAATAAAATAAAATAAACCGTTCGTATCCAAGTTGGTTATGGTCATAGTGTTTGTCATAGCAACAGAAAGCTAACTAGGATAATCCTGAAGAAATAATGGGAGATATGGGCAGGGAAAAATTACTAGGCTGTTAATTTCAACAGAGCAGACCATAACATAATGTTATAGACACCCAAAGGCCAGCCAATATGAAAACTGTTTCATTAAAGCGGATGTAATTATTCAAAGTATTTGTATAGGAGTCCATTTTGTGGCAGATACTGTCAGAAATCCTTTATGTTCTTCTACACTCAAGTATTATTTTGAGCAGCAGTGTTGTCTGCTCAAGGCACAAAATCAGGACAACCCTGACCCCACTTTCCCAGCTCCCCCTGCACCTAACATTTTAGTTAAGGTCAACGAAATGTGAGAGCCTACTAGGCACCTCTCCAAAAGTTTTTGCTTTCCTTATGAAAGGGACGGATACTTTTCTGCCAACAATCACCTATTACAGACCTGATAAGTGAGTGGTGAGTGTTTTCTGCAGTTTGGAGGAAACAGTGTCCTTAATGGTGGTGCGCTGTGAAACGCCGTTTATAGTCCCCTCTTTTAAGGCTCCTAGCTACCCTAGCTATCAGGAGGGTTACCAGCCTACTACAGCCCTAATCCGCCGATTGCTGGCTCTGGGAATGATACTCACAAGAAGGCAGTTGCCCTGCCAAGTGGCACCCCCAGCTCTTGCCCAGGGGCAGCCCGCATCAAACAAATGCCTCAGCTTTCTTTCTTCGAATTGTGACAATGATGAAGGGAATTCTAAACCGCCAAGCTCCAGCCGTTGTGACGACTGCAGCACCGCCTAATGTCCTCTCCAGTCTAATCCTATTTCATTCCCTTCCCCCACGCCGCGCGTTGGTCTCGTAAGCACTCCGGGAGAAGCTTCCTGCACACAAATCTCTTGTCTCCAGAGTCTGTTTCCCGGGAAACCCCACCCACAACACTAGCGATACATTTATTTAAATGAAAAGATGTTCAAAATATATTGCTACATACCAACAGGTTATAAGGCAATATGCATGATGTCATTCTGTTTTTGTCTTATACACTCTTTTCTCTATTTGCACAGAAAAGACATCTGGGAAACATTTTAAGAGATCACCTAAGAATGTCTTTTTGACTGTGTGATATGGGATTTCGTTTCTGGTTTTGGTTTTTGGTTTTGGCTTTTGTTTTTTTCTTGAGACAGGGTCTCATGCAGCCCAAGCCAACCTCAAACTCTCTAAGTAGCTGCAAGTGACCTTGAACCCCTGCCTCCACCTCCCAAGTGCTAAGATTATAACTATGCTTCACTATGCCTGGCAGTTAGGGAATAATTTCTTAAATAAGACTTAAAAAGTGGAAGCCATACAGAAAGGCTTATACATTTACACATTTAAGTTTAAAAATTATGTTAACCACAGAATGCTTTAAAAATCAAAACCTTCAGCTGGGTGTGGTGGCACATACCCCCAGGAAGCAAGAGGCAGGGGGGATTCAGGATAGCTAGGGCTACGGAGTGAAACCCTGTATCAGGAAAAAAAAAAAAAAGCAAAACCAAGTCACCCTCTGAAAGCAATGTTTTGTCTTTTTAGTTGTGAGCCTAGCCCCTAGTTTTGTGTCTTCAACAGAACTGACAAAAGATTGATTCTAGAGTATTTAAAGAATGAATTAGCAAAAAAAAAAAAAATCAAGTTCAGAAGAGAAGGCATAGAATTTTTACAATGAAAAAAGCGCTGAGCGGTGGTGGCGCACACCTTTAATCCCAGCACTCGGGAGGCAGAAGCAGGCGGATCTCTGAGAGTTCAAGGCCAGCCTGGGCTACAGAGTGAGTTCCAGGAAAGGCGCAAAGCTACACAGAGAAACCCTGTCTCAAAAAACCTAAAAAAAAAAAGAAAAAAGAAAAAAAGAAAAAGAAGAAAAAAGCAATTTACAAAAGAAAAAAATCATATTGCTAATAAAATATTTAAAGACTCTCAGCCTCACCAGAAAAATTCAAAACATGTTTCAAACATCAGATGGATTAAAAAATATATAAAAATATTGATAACACCCAGAGTTATGAAGAGTATAGAGAATAAAGTATTAATCTACAACATTTAAAAATTTTTTTTAATTAGATAATTAGACTCAGCTTGTCTGGAGAGTGATTTTAAATTATTTATTTATTTATAAAGTTTTATCTATTTGGTGTGTGTGTGTAACATGTGTGCATGTGCAAGCATGGTATGAAGGTATATAGAGGTTACAAAACAACTTGTAGGAGTCAGTTCTTTCCTTTCTACCATGTGATGTGGGTTTCAGGATCCAACTTGGCAGCGATCTCCTTAACCCACTGAACCATCTCCCTGGCTGAGAAGAAGTGTTAATGGCAAGAACATTTGAACAACGAAATTTCTATTGGAAAATGAAGGAACTGTAGCATGTTCTATGGGGTATTATGCATCAGTTAACAACAAAAATGTACACGTGTTGTCATGAATGGACTGGCAAAACTGACCCAAAAAAATGTCAAGAGAATAAAACAAAGTTACTCAGCGTGTGCATAGTATAATCCCATTTATTCCTCCTTTCTTTTGGAGGTTCTGGAGATTGTACCTAGGGCCTCATCTAAGCTAGGCAAGCAGTCTACTACCTCCATTTATACTTTCAAGTGATCACTATACACTTCCATATATATATAAACATATATATATATAAACATACAAATCCAAGAGAAAATTTTATTGAATGATAATCTGCCAATCTATAGATAGCAATGGTTTCTGAAAGGGATGTTCGAGGGGTCTTGGGGTGAGAGGGGGTCATCTAAGGGATCTTCTGAGTTTCTTACTCTTATCAGTTCAACACCCCACCCCACCCCACCCCCCCACCCCCCGCCCCGTGCAGTAGTATCCTGTTGTATTGCTACTCCACAAATATACCTCTGTTCTTTTTCAAAAGATTTTTTTTGCACATTCTAGGTCCTTTAAATTTCCATGTAGTAGCCGGGCGGTGGTGGCGCACGCCTTTAATCCCAGCACTCGGGAGGCAGAGCCAGGCGGATCTCTGTGAGTTCGAGGCCAGCCTGGGCTACCAAGTGAGTTCCAGGAAAAGGCGCAAAGCTACACAGAGAAACCCTGTCTCGAAAAACCAAAAAAAAAAAAAAAAAAAAAAATTTCCATGTAAACTTTAGAACTAGATTTTTTTTTTTTTTTTTGGTTTTTCGAGACAGGGTTTCTCTGTGTAGCTTTGCGCCTTTCCTGGATCTCGCTCTGTAGACCAGGCTGGCCTCGAACTCACAGAGATCCGCCTGGCTCTGCCTCCCGAGTGCTGGGATTAAAGGCGTGCGCCACCACCGCCCGGCTTTAGAACTAGATTTTTAATATTTACCAAAACAGCTGCTGATATCTGGGTATGTATTATCTTGAATCTAGAAATCAGTTTGGGGGAATTGACATATTAACATTGTTGGGGCTTTCAATTTGTGGATATGGACTATCTTGTTATCTACTTCATTTTTCTTTGGTGTCTCTCAAAAGTGTTTTGTCTTGGGCTTAAGAGATGTCTCAGCAGTTAAGAGCACTAATTGCTCTTCCATAGGACCTGGGTTTAATTCCCAGCATCCACATGGCAGCTCATATCTGTAACTCCAAGATTTGACACCCTCACACACACATATGTGCAAGCAAAATACCAATGCACATAAAATAAAAGTAAGTAAGTAAATAAATAAATACATAGGAGTTTTAAAAGGCAAGAATATTAAAACAAGCTAAGTGGTGGTGTTTCATGCCTTTAATCCCAGAACTCTGGAAGGCAGAGGCAGGCGGGTGGATCTCTGAGTTTGAAGTCAGCCTGGTCTACACAATGAGTTTCAGGACAGCCGGGGCTACACAGAGAAACCCTGTCTTGAAAACAAACAAACAAACAAACAAACAAAATATTTAAAAAGTTTTGTCAAATAGAGATTTACACATGTTAAATTTCTTTAGAATTTTATGGTTTTCATGATATTACACATGGAATGTCATTTTTAAATTTTTATTTTTCAGTTGTTTTTTGGTAGCTTATTAAAGTAAAACAGCTTTGAAAACATGGTCTTTGTATTCTGTGACTTGAAACATTTAGTCAGTGGATGTTGGGCATATTCCTAAAGGTTTTCTAAAGAAACAGTCATGTCACGTGCAAATAGAAACAGTTTCGTCACCTCCTTTCTGAGCTGCATGCTCTTTATTTCCTTGCATTCATCCTCAGAGTCAAATGTCTAGTACCATGTTGAGAAGAAGTAGGGAGAATGGACATTATTGCCTGACTCCTAAATAAAGGAGAAAATGGCCAATATTTCACTATTAACTCAATGCTAGCTATAAGGTTGTTTTGTTTTGTTTTTTGTTTTTGTTTTTGTAGGTATCCTTCATTCTCTTGGGAAAGAAAAAAGTAATGTACTTGAAGATACAGCCATATAAACTATCAAAATTTAAACACAAAAATAGATGGGAATTCGGGCTGGGCATATAGCTCAGCTGGCAGAGTGTTTCCTAGCATGTCCAAGGCCCTTGGCTACAAGTGAAGCACCGCATAGACCCTGTAATCTCAGCACTTAGTAGTAGAGGGAAGAAGATCAGACGTTCAAGGTCATCCACAGCTACATAGCAACTTCAAAGCCAGCCTGAGATACATGAGACTCTGGTCTCAAAAGAAAGGAAAAGAAAAAGAGAGGCCGGAGAAATGGCTTAGTGGTTAAGAGCATTGAGTGCTCTTCTAGAGGATTGATGTTCGATTTCCAGCACCCACATGGCTGCTAACAACATTCTGTAACTCCACTCCCAGGGGATCTGATACTCTCTTCAGCCTCTACCAGCAATGCATACACATGTACAGACATGCATGTAGGCAAAACACTTATACACATAAGATAAAAATAATATTTTTTTTAAAAGAAGGGAAAAGAGAAAAGGAACACTAAAAATTAAGAGTGGGCTAGGTGGTAGTGGTGGTGGTGGTGGTGGCGGCGGCGGCGGCGGCGGCGGCGGCGGCGGCACACGCCTTTACACACAGCACCCGGAAGGCAGAGGCAGGTGGATCTCTGTGAGTTTGAGGTCAGCCTGGGCTACATACCAAGTTTCAGGAAAATCAGGACTACACAAAGAAACCCTATCTCGAAAAACAAAACAAACAAACAAACAAACAAAAATTAAAAGAATGGGGGCTGGAGAGATGGCTCAGCTTTTAAGAGTACTGGCTGCTCTTGCAAAGGAGCCGGGTTTGGTTCCCAGTTCCACTTTCAGGGACTCCAATGACCTTGTCTGGCCTCCTCTGGCACCAGGCACTCATGTAGTGCACATAACATATATGTAGGCAAACACTCATCTACATGAAATAAAAATAAAGAAATCTTTAAAAAGATTCCAGAGCATTGGTGAGATGTTCGACAACTTCAAGTGGTTGCATTGGTGTAACTTAGGTTTTTGATGATATTATCCATGAAATGTTATTTAAATATTTTAATTGTTTTCTGGTAGTGCATCAAAGTAAAATTGAGTTTCCCTCATAAAAGGGAAGAATAGAAAAAAATTTTTGAAGAAATCATGCCAAAGCATTTTAAATTTGATGCAAATTATAAATATAGAAATTCAACAACTTCCAAACACAAGCAACATGAAGAAAATTAGAATTTTATATCTGTGAAAATATCTTTCATAATGTCAGGCAAGATGAACACATTCTTCAGCATCTGAAATTGCTGGAAAAATTCATCACCAGAGTATTTACAGTTCAAGAAATGTTCATGTTTCCTTCAGGCAGAAAGAAATTTATACCAGATGGAAGTCTGAATCTATACAAATGAATGAAGTCAAACACGGTATGTACTCACTCATAAGTGGATACTA